AAAAAAAAAAAAAAAAAAAAAAAAAAAAAAAAAAGACATACAGGAATTCTTCGTACTGCTTTTGCAAACTTTTCTTCTCCTTCCTTCGTCCTCCTCCTCCTCCTCTTTCTTCTCCTTTTTAGAGACAGTTTTATACTATATTGCTGGGGCTGGGGTGCAGTAGTTATGCACAGGCATGCTAATGGCTCACTATAGACTTGAACTTGGACTCAGCAATCCTCCTGCCTCAGCCACCTGAGTTGCTAAGACTACAGATGTGAGCTGCCTTGCTCAGCTAAGTTTGAAATAATATCAACATAAAAGGTCATCCCTTCCACCAAAAAAAAGCATAGGAGTCAGGATGACCAATTTGAACAACAAAAAGAATACCAACTTAATAAAAAAATACATGCATTCATATAATAATTTATTTTTTTTGACAGAGTCTCGCTCTGTCTCCCAGGCTGGAGTGTAGTGGCACAATCTTGGTTCACTGTAACCTCCACCTCCTGGGTTCAAGTGATTCTCCTTGCCTCAGCCCCTGAATAGCTGGGACTACAGGAGTGTGCCACCAAGCCTGGCTAATTTTTTGTATTTTCTTTTAAGTAGAGATGGGTTTTCACCGTGTTAGCCAGGATGGTCTCAATCTCCTGACCTTGTGATTCACCCGCCTCAGCCTCCCAAAGTGTTGGGATTACAGGTGTGAACCACCGTGCCCAGCCAATAGTTCATATATTTTTTTAATGAGGAGAAGCTTGATCAAAAATGCCTATAAATGTGGAAGGAACAATAAACTTGGGAAGTTTATTGGGAATAAACTTGCAGCTGTAAATGTAACAATGAATCTACTCATTAACCGATGCTAAAACTGTTGGGCAAATGGTTATTGGAAAATCTTTTTTTTTTTTTTTTTTTTTTTTTGAGACGCAGTTTCACTCATGTTACCCAGGCTGGAGTGCAATGGCGCGATCTCGGCTCACCGCAACCTCTGCCTCCTGGGTTCAGGCAATTCTCCTGCCTCAGCCTCCTGAGTAGCTGGGATTACAGGCACGCACCACCATGCCCAGCTAATTTTTTGTATTTTTAGTAGAGACGGGGTTTCACCATGTTGACCAGGATGGTCTCGATCTCTTGACCTCGTGATCCACCCGCCTCGGCCTCCCAAAGTGCTGGGATTACAGGCTTGAGCCACCGCGCCCGGCCTCGGGAAAATCTTGATATTTGTGGTCTCGGAGAATTGCCTCACAGATGCCTTAATTACTCCATAAGGAGCAAGGGAGCTTGACCATGGAGGAATGTAGCAGAATTGAACTTGACCAACTGGTTAAACCACTTTACTCATGGCCACACTGATGTCCTGTACCTCCTGCTGACTTGTTACCTCCCCTCATCATTGCCCCAAATGTCTAAGCAAGGATCCAGACCGTGGGACGGTCTAAGGAAAACAGGACCAGATACTTCAAAAATGCCTCTGAAAAACTGAAACACCCCCACCAGGAGATGTGTGGCTCAGTGAGTCTCTGAGGTTGCACAGGGCATGGGAGTCTGGCTGGCTGGGAGGACTGTGGCTAATGTGGGGCTCTCCCCAGTTTTCTCCAGTGTACATAGGTGTCCATGTTTGTCTGCATACAGTTGTGTGTGTGATGTGGATGTGTCATCAGCAGGAAGGTAAGAGAGCACCCAGGCAGAGGAGGTGTCCTTAGACTCAGCAATAACTGCGGGCGCGGTGGCTCACACCTGTCATCCCAGCACTGTGGGAGGCTGAGGTGGGCAGATCACAGGAGGTCAGGAGTTCTAGACCAGCCTGGCCAACACGGTGAAGCCCAATCTCTACTAAAAATACAAAAACTAGCCGGGCGTGGTGTGGGTGCCTGTAATCCCAGCTACTCGGGAGGCTGAAGCAGGAGAATCACTTGAACCTGGGAGGCGGAGGTTGCGGTGAGCTGAGATCGAGCCACTGCACTCCAGCCTGGGCGACAAGAGTGAAAGTCCATCTCAACAACAGCAACAACAATAAAAATTAGCCAAGCATGGTTTGCACCTGGTTTCCAGCTACCCAGGAGGCCAAGGCAGGAGGACTGCTTGAGCCCAGGAGTTGGAGGCTGCAGTGAGCTGTGATCACAGCACTGCACTCAAGTCTGGGCCACAGAGGGAGACCCTGTCTCAGTCAAATGAAGCATAAGGACTGACAAGGGCACCAGTTCCCCCTTCCACAGGCTTCTGTGCATCTGAGTCCTGGCCAGAAGCCCACAGAGACAGGCAGGCCCATGGAGAGGGGAGCACCAGGGAGGGCTGAGCCGTGGAGAGAATTTAGCCAAGTCCCAGGCTGGGGGCAGGGAAACACGTGCATGTGCCGTCCATGAGTGGCCCAGGTGCTGGGAGCTAAGCACAGGGCTGCGGGTCAGGAAGGCAGCTCCGGCTGGAGGACGGGAGCTGGCAGCACGTGGCCCTGGTGGCAGTGAGGCCAGGTGCCATCCCTTCTGCGGCGGCTGCGGATGGGGTGCGGTTTCCGAGGCTTCCACCAAGCCCCTGTTCGGCATGGCATTAGCGCGGGGGGTCCTCGAGTGCTGGTGGGCCCGCAAGAGCTCCGGTGAGACTCAAGTGCGCCCACCCCATGATTCTGGACCCGGTGTCCCGCCTTACCTACCCTCAGGTTTAGGGACCATCGCAGCAGCCCCAGGGCTGCCAGGTATTTCACTGCCATTCTAGGATGAGGGAAATAAGGCCTGGACTGGAGGGCCACGAGCCCCAACAGCCAGGAAGGATCCGTACAGGGGTGGGGGGCCTGCCCCATCCCATAAGGTCAGGAGGGGGACGCTGAGCACAGGGACAGGTGGGCCGGGAAGAGGCTCAGGTGCCAGAGCCGAGGCAGCCGGGACGGTGGGGGAGAGCAGGGCACCGACGTGGGGACGGGACGAACCGAGGCCGGGCGAGCGCGGGCCGCTGGGGCCCCGGGGCTCAGTGCCGCTCACTGCGGGTTACCGCGCCCCCAGCTCCGGCCCAGCCTGGCCCCGGCGAGCCCATCCGAGCCGCGCTTCCCGGGGGCAGAGGTCGGCAGCGCCACCCGGGTCGCCGGGTCCCGCGCGGGCTTCAGCGGCTCCAGGGCGGGGCGGGGCCGCCGTGGGCGGGGCCAGGCAGGACGCGGAAGCGCGCTCCGGCCCCGCCCCCCGGCCGCGTGGCTGCGCGTCCCGGCTGTTGCCGATAAAGTTGTCTGACGCCGGGCGGCGGCGGGTCACGTGAGCGGAAGATGGCGGCCCCGGCAGGTGGCGGAGGCTCCGCGGTGTCGGTGCTGGCCCCGAACGGCCGGCGCCACACGGTAAAGGTGACGCCGAGCACCGTGCTGCTTCAGGTGCGGCCACCGGCGCGAAGCGAACGGGTGGGCGGGTTGGGGGTGCCGCGCCGAGGCCCCGCCCCCTGCGGTCGGCGTCCGGGTCCTTAGGGGCGGGGCCTGCGGCGGCCAATGAACTGACTCCGGCGCGGCGTCCCCGCCCCCTGCTCGTGGGCACCTGCGCTTCCGCGGGGGTCCCGGGGGTCTCGTATGGGGGCGGAGCGGGGCGGGTGCAGCCCCCGGGGTGCGGCAGGGCCGGTGCCGCGTGTCACCCCCCTTGGAGTCCTGGGCGCCCGGCTGAGCCCAGCTCGCGAGGGCGCGGGGAAGAGGGAAGAGGAGCCCCAGACCCGCGTTCCCATCCCGGGGCGTGCCCCGGGGTGGGAGCCCGGGTTGCGCGGTGGCTGATGTCCTGGCCGTGGGGCGTGGAAGCGATTTTTGCCGAGTCATGCAGTGCACTTTTACTCGGGCAGCTTGTGACCTCGAATCCATTAAATATAAAATATTAATTGAGCCCCTGCTGCGTTGGGGACCTTGAGGAGCCAAAGTGCACACAACGCGTAGTCTGCGGGAGCGGCCCACGGCGTGGGGCGGCGGGGCCTGCACAGGTGGAGGGCGCGGCTGGGAGGCTGTTGGTGCCGGGCGTGCAGAGCGCAGAAGTGCGGCGCTCCGGCGGAGGCTGCGCCGGACCCTCTGGTGCCAGCGCCACGGCTTTGGCTGCTGGAGAAGAGGGGCGGAGGCGGTGCAGGCTGTGGGAGCAGGTGCACAGAACCGTGCCAGAGCCAGGGGTAGCCTCTGCTGGGCAGGGCTGCAGAACTACAGGGTTTGAACTTCATGGGGGGAGATCCCAGAGTGTGTGCCAGGAAGATCCTGGTGTTGCTTGCCGCCGGGGAACCCTGAATGGAGCCTCCCTGCAAAGCGGAGACAGCGAGGAAGGGAGGGACGCCCGCGGCTGTTGTGGGGACCGTCCATAGTGTGGTTTGTGCTTGGCTTTGCCTGGGCAGAGCCATCTGGCTTGCCAGGAAGCTGAGTGCCCTTGGCTGGCCTGCCCCACTGCGCCCGCCAGCCCGGCCCACTCAGCAGTTCACCGTCCTTTCATCTCACCCCTAGGTTCTGGAGGACACGTGCCGGCGGCAGGACTTCAACCCCTGTGAATATGATCTGAAGTGAGTTTGCCCCAGCTCAGCAAGCAGGGTCTGAGTGTATCTGTGCCCCTGCCCCCTGAACATACTGGCTCTCACTTGGAAGAGCCGCGCGGTGGTTTTAAACAGTCATCATATATTCCCTCCCAGCTCTGGAGACCCTTGGGCCACACTCTCTCCGATTGCCCTGAGGGAGAATCCTTCCTGCCTCTTCTGGCTTCTGATGGCTCCAAGTGTCCTCGGCTTGTGGCCGCATTGCTCTCTGCCTCTGATTCCTTGTGGAATTTTCCCGTTTTCTGTGTCTTTAGAAGACCCTTGTCACTGGATTAGGGTCCCCTTATATAATCTAGGGTGGTTTATCATGACATCTCCAAAGACCAGGATATCCAAGAAGATGGTCAGAGGACATAGACCCATGAGTTTTGGGGGGCACCGTTCAACCCCCTCTAGGGTTTTTTTTTTTTTTTTTTTTTGAGACGGAGTTTCACTCATGTTACCCAGGCTGGAGTGCAATGGTGCGATCTCGGCTCACCGCAACCTCCGCCTCCTGGGTTCAGGGAATTCTCCTGCCTTAGCCTCCTGAGTAGCTGGGATTACAGGCACACACCACCATGCCCAGCTAATTTTTTGTATTTTTAGTAGCGACGGGGTTTCACCATGTTGACCAGGATGGTCTCGATCTCTTGACCTCGTGATCCACCCGCCTCGGCCTCCCAAAGTGCTGGGATTACAGGCTTGAGCCACCGCACCCGGCCTCCCTCTAGGTTTTATTGCATTTGGTTGTGTAAGTTCCCAGTGGGGCTCTGAGGGGAAGAGCTGACCATGGAGAAATAAGATACCCTGAAAACTGCAGGGAGATCCCTGTGGTCTCACAGCCCCTGGAATTACTTCTGTGTGGGGGTATTATTCCTAAGAGAGGGCTTCTGCCAGATTCTCAGAGTCTGAGACAGCAGAAGGGTCAGAGCCCTCATATGGATAGGATTTGTGTGTCTATCCTACATGTGAAGCTTTTTACTTTATTTTTTTTTTTCCCTTTCTTTTTTTTTTTTGAGACAGGGTTTCACTCTTGTTGCCCAAGCTGGTGTGCACGGTGGCGTGGTCTTGGCTCATTGCAACCTCTGCCTCCTGGGTTCAAGTGATTCTCCTGCCTCAGCTACCACGCCCAGATAATTTTTGTATTTTTAGTAGAGACGGGGTTTCACCATGTTGGCCAGGCTGGTCTTGAACTCCTGACCTCAGGCGATCTGCCCGCCTTGGCCTTCAACATTGGTGGGATTACAGGGGAGACCTGTTTTCACAGTACTGTTGTCCTAATATTGGGGGCAGAGGGCAGGAGCCTGCCTTACCGGCCTTGCCGACCCTGTCTTATGGGGCTCTCCTGGGAGGAGTTTCTTAGGGGTGATACTTGCCAAGTCATTCCAGTCGTCCACCCTGTGTCTGGACTGCGTGAGAGTCCCAGGACCTGTGCTCTGAGTGCTAGGTGGTCTTGAGTATCCTGCCTCAGACCCCACACCATCCTTCCCCAGTTTGTGGTCAACTGAAGAATGAGGTTAATACATTTGGGTTGCATCCTGAAGGGTGGCCATTCTAACAGGCTGGGAAGTGTAGCCGTCAGCCAGAAGCCGGAAGCAGACGCTTGGAGACAGGGAAGAATAAGACAGGTGTTTACACCGGATGGGGTGGCTGATACAGATGTACTTAATACGCTGTGGGAGGATCGTGAGATTCTTGAAAGGAGAACTGTGCACACGCACAATTGAGCTTCATGCCTCTCCACGGGTCCTGTGTTTAAAAAATGGCAGCGCTAGTGTGACCTGAGGGTGGAACTTTTGGCCTCTGAAGTTAAAGGTGAAGCACGCTGGGTGAAGTGGCTCGTGCTTGTAATCCCAGCACTTTGGGAGCCCAAGGTGGATAATTGCTTGAGTCCAGAAATTCTAGGCCAGCCTGGGAACATAGTGAAACCCTGTCTCTACAAAAAACAGTAAATAAATAAATCAGTAAAAGAAAAACGTGGCAAACCAGAGGGCACAAAAACCCTCACTATGCCAGAACCACTCCCTGGTTGGTGGTCTCTTATCAGGAAGAAATACCTGTGGGTTGTTTTGAAGAAGTGCAAGAGAGAAGGGCCTGGCTGGAGGTTGGCCATTGTCAGATACCAGCCGGGGAGTCTCTGGAAGGGTTGCTTTCTGTTTATCCCTTAGGGAAGAAAGCCCGTAGGTGTGTCTGACCTCACACCCATTCATGGCCAGGAACTCAGCTTCAAGGTTTATGGAGACCCCTGGGCCAAGAGGAGGCCAGTTCTGTTGGTTAGGGGGCTTAGGGTTTCATTTTTATTTCTTTTTTATTATTATTTTTGAAATGGAGTCTCACTCTGTCACCCAGGCTGGAGTGCAGTGGTACGATCTCAGCTCACTGCAGCCTCTGCCTCCCAGGTTCAAGCAATTCTCGTTCGTCGGCCTCCTGAGCAGCTGGAATTACGGGTGCCTGCCACCACACTCAGCTAATTTATGTATTTTCAGTAGAGACAGGATTTCACCATGTTGGTCAGGCTCGTCTCCAACTCCTGATCCAGTGATCTGCCTGCCTTGGCCTCCTCCGAAGTGCTGGGACTACAGGTGTGAGCCTCCGCACCTGGCCTATTTTATTATTTTTTTTTGAGAGAGTCTCGCTCTGTCACCCAGCCAGTAGTACAGTGGTGCGATCTCGGCTCATTGCTACCTCCGCCTCCCAGGTTCACGTAATTCTCCTGCCTCAGCCTCCCGAGCAGCTGCGATTACAGGCACACACCGTCATGCCCAGCTAATTTTTTTTTTTTTTTTTGAGAGGGAGTCTCACTCCGTCACTCAGGCTGTAGTGCAGTGGCGCTATCTTGGCTCAGTGCATCCTATGCCTCCCGGGTTCAAGCACTTCTCTGCCTCAGCCTCCCAAGCAGCTGGGATTACAGACATCTGCCACTACACCTGGCTAATTTTTGTATTTTTAGTAGAGACAAGGTTTCACCATCTTGGCCAGGCTGGTTACTTTTTGTATTTTTAGCAGAGACAGGGTTTCACCATGTTGGTCAGAATGGTGTCGAACTCCTGACCTCAGGTGATCCACCCGCCTTGACCTCCCAAAGTGTTGGGATTACAGGCGTGAGTCACCTCGCCTGGCCATTTTGTTTGAAAAGTCTTGCTCTGTCACCTAGGCTGGGGTGCACTGGCACAGTCTCGGCTTACCGCAGTCTCTGCCTCCCGGGTTCAAGCGATTCTTGTGCCTCAGCCTCCTGAGTACCTGGAATTACAGGCACGTGCCATGCCCGGCTAATTTTTGTATTTTTAGTAGAGATGGTTTCACCATGTTGGCTAGGCTGTTCTCGAACTCCTGACCTCAAGTGCTCCGCCCGCCTTGCCTCCCAGAGTGCTGGGATTACAGGCATGAGCCACCGTGGCTGGCCTCATTTTTATTTCTGACGGCTCACCTGCCCATGATCTGTGTGATGGTGTGTAGTGGGAGCCAGTGAGTGCGACTTTGAGGCAGGTCTCCTGCAGCACCATTGCAGTGTTTCCTGGTCTCCTTTTCCTCTGCTGAGGCAGTGCCCCGAACACGGCTCCATGCGGGGACACTGCCCCGTCCCCTCCACGGTTCCCAGTCTGCCTGCCCTCAGGTTCCCCCGATCTGCTATCCTGTCTTGCCCTAGATATTTCATGTGGCAATTTCCAGAGTGACTTCTGGCCAGTATAAAAGATCGATAGCAAAGTTTGTTCTCTGTTAATTCTTCTAGACATCCTCGAACTTTCTAAACTCTGTTTTCTAATTGTTTCCAGTGGCAGCTTGCATTTCCAAAGGGGAGGGCCAACCTTTTTTCTTTCTTTCTTTCTTCCCTCCTTTCTTCTCTTTCTTCCCTTTCTTTCCCTCACTCCCTCCTTCCTTCCTTCCTTCCATTGCCTGGGCCGGAGTGGGAGCGCACGATTTGATCTTGGCTCACTGCAGCTTCTGCCTCTCAGGTCCAAGCAATTCTCTTGCCTCCGCCTCCTGAGTAGCTGGGACTACAGGCAACCGCTACCATGTCCCGCTAATTTTTGTATTTTTAGCAGAGACAGGTTTTCACCACATTGGTTAGGCTGGTCTTGAACTCCTGACCTCAGATGATCCTCCCGCATTGGCTTCCCAGAGTGCTGGGATTACAGGCATGAGCTGCCGTGCCGGGCCAAGTATATTCAGATTTCATGTGTGTTCTCCCCTCAGCCCTGGAGTTTTTTTCCTTTTTTCTAAACTTTTGTTAAAAACAGAGCTCAGATATGACTATGCCACTGGGTGAGAGAGTGAAACCCTGTCTCTTAAAAAAAGAGTGAAAATAGGTTGCTCGTTGGCTCATACCTGCAATTCCAGCATGCCAGGATGCTGAGGTGGAAGGACTGCTTGGGTTCAGGAGTTTGTGACTAGCCTGGGCAACACAGCAAGATTCCCGTCTCTGCAAAAGATAAGAAAATGAGCCAGGATTTGTGGTGCACACCTATAGTCCTAGCTACTCAAGAGGCTGAGGTGGGAGGGGAGCTTGGGCCTGAGAGGTCGAGGTTACAGTGTGTTCTGTTTGCTCTGCTGCGCTCCACCCTGGGGAACAAAGTGAGACCCTGTCTCAAAAACAGAGTCAGAGCCTGACCTGTGAGAGGCATGAGTAGTCTCTTGCTTGTTCTTTGGGTGACCGACTGGCCGGTGGTCCCCTTGAAGATCAGGGCTATGCAGCAGTTGGGATTTTCTTTTTTTCTTGAGACAGAATCTTGCTCTGTCATCCAGGCTGGAGTGCAGTAGGGTGATTTCAGCTCACTGCAACCCCGGGTTCAACCCACCTCCTGGGTTCAAGTGATTCTCCTGCCTCAGCCTCCCAGCAGCTGGGACTGTAGGCGCCCACCATCATGCCCAGTTAACTTTTGTATTTTTAGTAGAGACTAAAAATAGCTGGTCTCCAACTACTGACCTCAACGGATCCACCTGCCTCGGCCTCCCAAGGTGCTGGGATTACAGGCGTGAGCCACCGCGCCTGGCCCACATGTGGGCTTTCTGTTGCTTCTCTTGGGTTGTGGCCCCATTTGGAGGGGGGCGGGAGCAGGAGTGGTGGGTGGCCACGCCGGCTGGTGGCGGAGGTGAAAGCGGAGGGACTCGGGCAGCCGGCTTTACTGTGGCGGCTCCAGCTGTGACGGCCGGGGGCTGTGACACTTCAGCTTCTCGAGCGTGGCAGCGTTCACCACCCAGACTTTCTGTGTGTTTTCTGAGCATTTGCCCTGGGGCATCAGCACCCCAGACTCTGGAGGGGCGGCCCCTCAACGTGTCCGTCCAAGGCTCGCTTCTCCCTTTTCCCTGCTCCCTTCTGTGTGCGTGACGCCCTATATAGTCACGTCCCGCCTTGTGCCACTGTAGATGAGGTGGTCCTGCTCTCGGGGAGCTGCCATTTGCCGTGGATGGTGGGGCGTGTCAGGGTCTGCAGGGCAGCGAGTGGGCTCCGGTCTGTCTTGCAGGTTTCAGAGGAGCGTGCTCGATCTTTCTCTCCAGTGGAGATTTGCCAACCTACCCAATAATGCCAAGCTGGAGATGGTGCCCGCCTCCCGGAGCCGTGAGGGGCCCGAGAACATGGTGGGTGGTGCTCTGGGGAGGGTGACTGTGTGGTATGGGAGGTATTTAGCTGGCCGGGCACAGGGGGTGTGGGGGTTGCTGGGGAAGGAGGGACATGAGTCTTAGCACTAATTCTGCCTTCCCTACGTTGGGCCCGAGCAATTTTCTCTTCTTCGAAAGCTGGCAACTGAACATGAGCACCTCATGCTTTCTTTTTTTCCCTGACAGATCTCGCTCTGTCACCCAGGCTGGAGTGTAGTGGCGCCATCCTGGCTCACTGCGACCTCCGCCTCCTGGGCTCAAGCAGTTCTCATGCCTTGGCCTCCCTAGTAGCTGGGCTTACGGACGCCGGAAACAACGCCCAACACATTTTTTTGTGTTTTTAACACGGGGTTTTACCATGTTGGTCAGGTTAGTCTCGAACTCCTGACATCCTGGGTCCGCCTACCTCAGCCTCTAAAAGTGCTGGGATTACAGGCACTACCAGTGAGCCACTGCACTGGCCTAAAGTCCCATTCTTCGTGTGAAAGTTTTTCTTTCTTTTTGGTGGGTCATTTGTGCCCTACCTGGCTCAGGGCGTTGGAAGCATTCACCCACCAGCCTGACATTCCGTACATAGAATTGTCCAGAATGCTAAGAGCCAGAAGCACTGCATGGTTGCTGGCCGGGCAGCTCCTTCGTTTCTCAGATGAGACACTGCAGGGCTTAGGGTTTGCCCCAGGCTGGTCTTGAAATCCTGGGCTCAAGTGATCCTCTCACGTCAGCCTCCCATAGTGCTGGGATTACAGGCATGAGCCATTGTGCCCAACCAAAAGTTGGCATGTGGGCCGGGTGCGGTGGCTCGCACCTGTCATCCCAGCACTTTGGGAGGCCAAGGTGGGCAGATCACTTGAGGTCAGGAGTTTGCCACCAGCCTGGCCAACATGGTGAAACCCCATCTCTACTAAAAATACAAAAATTAGCCGGGCGTGGTGGTGGGTGCCTGTAATCCCAGCTACTTGGGAGGCTGAGGTAGGAGAATCGCTTGAACCTGGGAGGCGGAGGTTGTAGTGAGCCAAGATCACAGCACCACATTCCAGTCTGGGTGACAGAGTGAGACTCATCTCAAGAAGCAAAACAAAACAAAAGTTGGTGTGTTGAGGCGTAGCCGCAAACATTTACTGTCTCGTGGCTTCTAAGGGTCCAGAGTCTGGGAGCAGCTTAGCTCAGGGTCTCTCCTGAGGCTGCGGTCAGGCTCAGTGGAGGTGCAATCTTTCCAAGGCCCCACTAGGCAGGAGGAGTGTCTCCAACACAGCTTCCTCCTGTGGCGTCTGCACACACCCACACACACAGGCACACACATATACGTGCACATACACCCGTACACGCCCATGCACACACATGCACACCCACACGTACCTGCACACATATCTACATAACACCGACACACACGTGTACACATTCACATACACCCGCACACACCCACCCGCACACATGCACATACACCCACACATCCATACACACCCACGCACACGTGCGCACACATCCGCATATGCACACACATGCACACCCACACACACCCACGCACATATGCACGTACATCTGCACACACACGCACACCCACAAACATGCACATACACCACACAGTCGCACACACACATGCACACTTACATGCTGGTGCAGCCTTGTTGGGGAAGCCTCCATGGCCCTCACTCCAGAGTACACAGGAGGGCAGCACTTCTCCGTGGGGGTCAGTCTCTCCCCAGAGGCCTGGGCAGGAGCTGTCGCCCTCTCTGTCTGGAGAGCCGGTCTGGGGTGCAGACGGAACCACCGCCTTTCTTCCTAAGGACGTTTCTCCTGTCCTGTACCTTCCAGGTTCGCATTGCTTTGCAGCTGGATGACGGTTCCAGGTTGCAGGACACCTTCTGTTCAGGCCAGACCCTCTGGGAGCTTCTCAGCCATTTTGCACAGACCAGGTGAGCATCAGTGGGCGGATGGGGGAAGCTGCAGGGGTCACTGGGTCTGGTCCAGAGCTGGACACCCAGTCTCTGTGCTGGACCGTGGTGCCTCTTGGGCTTTGCAGTCCTTGGAAGAGGAGGGGTGTGTGGGCTGCCGTTCGGGAGTGGTAGTCTCAGGGACGGTTGGTCACAGCTCATTGTTCTGAGCTTCCTGGGTCCAGCGGCCCTGCCCTGCCTCCCAGAAGAGCAGGGATGTGCTTCTGTCCTTGTGGGGGCCTGGGGAGCATAAGGGGAGACATTTGGTGCTGGGGGCAGGGCTCTCATGCTTGCTTCCCCTGGATGGGACCAGAAAGTCTGTTTTTTTTAAGAGGAAGGGGCTCACTATGTCGGTCGCCTAGGCTGCTCTTGAACCCGTGGGCTCCAGCAATCCTCCCATCTCGGCCTCCCAAAGTGTTGGGATTACAGGGGTGAGCCCTGTGCCCCACCAGAAAACCCTCTTAATAGTAATTGGCTGGCCAGGAACAGTGGTTGACGCCTGTAATCCTAGCACTTCGGGAGGCCGAGGGTGGAGGGTTGCTTGAGCTCATGAGTTTGAGACTAGCCTCCGCGACATAGTGAAAAATAGAAACATTAGGCCAGGCATGGTGGTGCACGCCTGCGGGCCCAGCTACCCCGGAGGCTGAGGTGGGAGGGTCTTAGCCTGGGAGGTGGAGGTTGCAGTGAGCCCTGATCACCCTCCAGCCTGGGAGACAGAACAAGACCCTGTCTCAAAAAAAAAAGTAATCTGTCGGTTAATGGTTGAGACTTCGTTTCTGAATGTGTAAAAATGGGTGCTTTGTAAATTTGGGTCATTTCATTGTGGGCTGGAAATCTTTGTATGCTGTGAAAGGCTCAGCCAGCAGAACGGAAGGGACTCGGGGCTGGGGCTTGCTGGGGAGTTCTCGCTGTCTCTGGGCCTTGGTTTCCCCACCTGTGCCTGGGTGGTGTGTGGACGGGGTGCATTCCTGTCTTGAGGACTCAGTGCAGAGCCTATGGGAAGGTGACTGCGCGTCGGGCATGCTCGGTGGCCCCGGGGCTGGGCCTGCCCCCATCTGACGGTGGAGCCACCTGCACAGCACAGGTGCTGCATTCACAGAGGAGGGCGCAGAGGTCAGGGGTCCTGGGGGTGGAAGCCACCCCAGCAGGTGTTGGGGTGAATGGAGTCTTCTGGGGAAGACAATGGGTTAAGTATGGGCACAGAATTCATTCTCCTAAAATTCGACTAAAACAAGTGACAGAACCGGTGAGAAAAGACGAAGCCACAGGCAGAAGTGGGCAGGACCCGAGGCAGGAATGGTGCCAGGCAGGGAGGCGGGCGGCCCCAGGTGCTGGGTAGGCACTGGGTGAGGAGCGCGGATCTCGGCACCCAGCTCTGCTGCTTCCTGAGAGAAGGGTGGCAGAGGGCAAGAAGAAACCCACACAGTGAAGGTAGTAAAAGTCAGGAAAGATGAAAGTCCTGAAGGAAATGCCTTGGGCCGGCCGGTGCCCCAGGCGGTAAGTAGGTGCGTGGTGATGGCCATTCTCCCTGGCTGTGCTGTGCTGTCGTCAGATCCGGATGGAGATGAGGAAATGGCCCACAGTGGCCCTGGGCTGCCACTGGGGAGGGGCCGAGGGTGTCTGGGTGGTGGGACCGCCACTGTGCTAGCATAAGCCTCTTCAACAGACTTTGTAATCTTCGTAGGAAACTTAGTTTAAGAAACAACAGGGGTGGCCGGGCACGGTGGCTCACGCCTGTAATCCCAGCACTTTGGGAGGGCAAGGCAGGTGGATTATCTGAGGTTAGGAGTTCAAGACCAGCCTGGCCAACATGGTGAAGCCCTGTCTCTACTAAAAATACAAAAATTAACCAAGACTAATGGTGCCTGTATTCCCAGCTACTCGGGAGGCTGAGGAGCAAGATTCACTTGATCCCAGGAGGTGGAGGTTGCAGTGAGCTGAGATTGTGCCATTGGGGTCCAGCCTGGATGACAAGAGCAAAATTCTGTCTTTAAAAAAAAAAAAAAAAGGGGCCGGGCAGTGTCTTACCCCTGTAACCCCAGCACTTTGGGAGGCCGAGGCAGGTGGATCGCCTGAGGTCAGGAGTTTGTGACCCGCCTGGCCAACGTGGTGAAACCCTGTCTCTACTAAAAATACAAAAATTAGCTGGGCGTGGTGGCACGTGCCTGTAATCCCAGCTACTTGGGAGGCCGAGGAAGGAGAATCGCTTGAACCTGGGAGGTGGAGGTTGTAGTGAGCTGAGATCGCGCCATTGGACTCCAGCTAAGGCAACAAGAGCAAAACTCCATCTCAAAAAAAAAAAACAAAAAACGAGTGGCTGGGCTCGGTGACTCACACCTGTAATCCCAGCACTTTGGGAGGCCGAGACAGGCGGATCCCTTGAGCTCAGGGGTTCAAGACTAGCCTGGCCAACGTGGCGGAAACACTTCTCTACTAAAAATGCAAACATTAGCTCAGTGTGGTGGCTCATGCCTATAGTCTCAGCTAGTCAGGAGGCAGGAGAATCGCTTGAACCCTGGAGGCGGAGGTTGCAGCAAGCCAAGATAGCGCCATTGCACTCCAGCCAGAGTGACAGAGCGAGACTTTGTCTCAAAAAAAAAAAAAAAAAAAAAGAGAAAAAGAAACAGGAGCAAGTGGGGCAGCTCTTTCAAGGAACTGGTGACAGCAGGAGGCGATGGGCTGTCTGGTGAAACCCCAGCCTGTGGCCCTGGGCCGTGTGGTATTGTGGGTTTGTGTGCAGGTGTGTCTGCACGTACACCCCATTTGGTGAACACTCACGCCTGGGGTACAGTAACTGGTGCTGGCTCTGGGTGCTGATGAATATGCTGTGGACGTCTTTCTGAAGAGTCCCGCACTGTCGCTACTCACAGCCTCGCTCTTCTGTCTTGTGGGTGTCCTGTGGATGTTATGGGGCATCTGCCTGTGTCTTGGGGCGTCCTGGGCAGGGCTGGAGCAGCCCATGCAGCCAGAGGCCTTTGCACCTGGTTACCCATCCCAGTTCCTCCTGTAGGGTAAATTCCAGAGGTAGAATTTAAGATAGGGCTTCTTTAAATTTTATCCCTAGGCCAGACCGGCAGCTCAAGCCTTTAATTCCAACACTTTGGGAGGCCGGGGTGGGCAGATCCTCTGAGGTCAGGAGTTTGAGACTAGCCTGACCAATATGGCGAAACCCTGTCTCTACTAAAAATACAGAAATTAGCCAGGTGTGGTGGCGGTCACCTGTAATCCCAGCTACTCAGGAGGCTGAGGCAGGAGAATTGCTTGAACCCAGGGAGCGGAGGTTGCAGTGAGCTGAGATCATGCCACTGCACTCCAGCTTGGGCGACAGAGTGAGACTCCATCTCAGAAATAGATAAATAAATTTACTTATTTATTTCTGCAAGTTCAGACCCAAGCTCTGTCCTGGAGGCTAGAGATTGCTGGCCACGGAGCAGGATGTGGATGGTGGGTGGTGGTGCCAGCCCCACAGTGAGGGTGGAGTGCCTGGTGGGCTCTGTGCTGGAGGCTGGTCCCCAGTAGGTCTAGGTGAGGGAGCAAGGCTCCCTTGTGCCTAGTGTCCCTGCACTGGCCTGGGATGCTTAGGGAGGCAGGGTGGTGGCCTCGGGAACTCCTGGTGTCAGCAGAGTGGGATAGGCGGGAAGCTGGTGTTTCTCCCTTCGTGTGTTTTGGAAGAAGTTCGAGCCAGGGACAGTGTGAGCGCCATGCTTGGAAGGGGTGATCCGAGGCTGGGGACTGCAGGCCGGTAGCCTGCCCAGGGACAGAGCCTGCTTTGTGTATTTGGGGACCTCAGGTGATTTCCTTGGATGGAGACCACCACATATTTGAGATGTTGCAGCTCCACTGAATGGAAGTTACTGTGGCACGAAGCCCAGGCCTGAACAGTGTCCCGAGCAGCAGTAGCCTTGGGGATAACAGTGAGCCACACGTGTTGGCCATGGAGGTGACTCACTTTTTCTTTTCCATTGCCCAGGCTGGAGTGCAGTGGTGCTATCTTGGCTCACTGCAACCTTCACCTCCTGGGTTCAGCAGTTTTCCTGCCTCAGCCTCCCGAGTAGCTGGGATTACAGCTGCGTGCCACGCCGCCGGGCTAATTTTCTTTTTGAGTAGAGACAGGGTTTCACCATGTTGGCCAGGCTGGCCGCGAACTCCTGACCTCAGGTGATCCACCTGTCTTGGCCTCCCAAAGTGCTGGGATGACAGGTGTGAGCCACTGTGCCCAGCCAATGACTCACTTTTTTTTGTAACCACATTAAAAAAATAAATAAAAACAGGTGTCATCAATTTTAGTAATATGTTTAATTAACACAGTACACCCAAAATATGCCTTCTTGGACGTGTAGCGAGTGAAGAGTGAGCCATCTCACGCTTTTGCTGGTGCAGAGCCCTTGAAACCTTCGCGTACCGTGCACTTGACTGTCTCGGTCTGGGCCGGCTCCTCGTGGACTGGCGGCTCCTCTGCTCTGCTTCTTGGGCTCTGCCACAGGGAGGGCGCCAGGAGATGGAGGCTGTGGGCTGCTGGCTCCCAGCTTCCCCATTTTCCCTGTAGCCTGAAGGTCCTGCCCAGCAGAGGGGTGTGAGCGGCCACACTGAGCCCTGGGGGACACTGTTCTCCACCTGCCTGGTGTGTCTGTGTCAGAGCCTGGGTTCTTTATGATGGGAGTGCACCTTCCGTGATAGGAGATGCGCGAGATGGAAATGAGGATTTCACTGCCTACGGGCCCTGGGGGTGCACAGCCCGCCTGGAGCTGCCCCTAGAGGGAATGGGAATACCTCTCTGACCAGCATCTTTGCTGGGGTCCAGGTCATTATGCTAACGGGTTTTCTACGAGGAGATGCACTCAGTGGGTTTAGAGCCAGCAGGCCTGAGGCCCAGGAGGTGGCGCTGAGACTCGGGGGTGGGGTGGGGGGGCGGCACTTGGCACATCTGGGTGGTCCGCAAGGGGCAGGCAGGCGAGTCCCGTAGGTTGAATCCTGAGTCCTGTAGGGACCTGTTGCCATGGAGCAGTGGTGAAAGGCAGGGGTGTGGACGGACCGCGCTGAGGAGCGGGAAGAGAACTGGGACCGTTACGGGTGACTGAGCCCTGCCCTGGACCGATGCCGAGGGTGAGCCGTGGGAACTCATGGCGGCTCAGCCACTTCCATCCGAAGGCCATGAGGGAGCAGTGTGGACTTTCTGTAAATGTCAGCTTCATGAGCTCTGCCATGGAGGGGATTTGCCCTCTCTCAGAGGTGCCCCAGGTGGGAGTGGCCCCCTGGCTAGATCTCCTACCAGGCTGCCAGCGCTCTGCTCCCATCCATGACTCAGTGCTCGGGTCTGGCTGAATATGTCTTGGCTGGTTCTGAAAAGGCTGGGCGATTTCTACAGCCCTCTCAGTGTGCTGGGCTGCAGGAAGGGGCAGCTGGTGAGGACATGGCCCTGCCAGGGAGCACCAGCCCGTGGCCACACTCAGAGGGGGTCTGTGCGTGCAGCCTGGCCAGCTCAGAGCTCTTGGGCCCGGGCCCTGTCCCTGTCCATGCCGGTCCGGACCTGGCAGTAGAGTTTGGAAGGCTGGAGGCTGCCTTCCTCCGAGACACACTCAGGCTGGGCTGTCATGTGGTGGGTGGCGCCCTCCAAGGGCCTCCCCGGGCCGAGTGGCTCCTGGCTGCAGCCACAGCTCTGCTGGTTCTGTTCCTGGCCTGCGGCTGCCTGGGCCCTCTTCAGCACGTGTTTGCACCTAGCTTTGTCAGACCCAGACTAGACATGAACACGAGGCTCCAGACTCACTGCCTCGTCCCCAGCACACAGCTGCGCCCGGGTGGAGTGGGGCTCTGGGGGGCAGGGTTTGTACTGCGTAAAAAATATGCCCGCAAAGCCAACCGCAGAGGCGTGTCTGCCCTCCTGGCCACCCTGCTGGCTTCTGGCCCTGACCGAGTAAGGAGCTCTGCTGGCCAGAGGGTGGGTGAGACTGTGCCAGCCCCTCACTGTGAGCAGGCACCCTCGGAACCTCGCCACAGCACCCCGTCTTGCGTTTCTGGCTTTGGAGCGTGGTGTCTGGTGGCTTGGCCTGGCCTGGGGTCCCCAGGAGGCCCTGGGTCTTGCCCCTGTAGACACTGGGACTTGCAGAGGCCTGCGTGGGGGAGGGGGTGTCTTCTCAGGCGCTGGAATTTCCCCCGGGCCCTGTCCTCCTGAGCACTGGGCCAGCGCAGAAGGTCTGGAACCGATTGCCGCAGCCCCTCCCCTCGGCCAGCCGCCACACAACGTGTTCACAAGCCGCTCCCTCAGATCCCGCACGAGGGAATCTGATCCGTCTGTCTGCCGCTCCCTTAGAGGAGCCGCACATCAAAGCCGGGCCGGCGTTTGATGTCACGCTGCTGTGCTCTGTCCCTGTTTGTGATTTGAGGTCCCCAAGCTGGCGCTCGGGGCAGGGAAGACTGCGAGTGGGACTCTGGCCACCACGCAGCCCAGGGTTCCCCAGCCATTGCTCAGCGGTTTCATGACCATCTCTGGGGCCCTGGCCGTCCATGTCATGTTGGAGAGCTGCGTCCCTGCACCCTCCCCGTCCCCATCCCTGGCCCTGGGGTCTGTGCTTCCCTGAGGCCTCTTGCAGCCTCTGCCCAGGCTCTTCTCTGGCGAATTTTGGGATCTTGTGTTTTCCTGAGTCCAGGGTCTCGGGCCGAGTCTCCAGCCGTTTGGAGGGAGGGCAAATCCAAGGCCCTCTGTTGGCTGCTCCGTGGGATGGGAGGTCAGCGCTGTGTCCCAGCCTGTGTGCAGAGGACACCTGCCGTGTGCGTGGTGTGCACGCGCTCCACAGGCAGGAGGCCGTCGGGGTTGGGGCTCCATTGTAGACAGCGAGCCCCCTGAGTCCCATGGCCCTGCCGGGCCTCTGCAGCCGGGTGAGGGTTGGGGCCTGGGTGGGGGAGGGATGCCCCCCACCAGGAGTGAGGAATGCATGGACGTGAAAAATACAGGCCAGGAAACAAAAGAAAACATGTCAAACCCACGCACATGGCGAGAGTCCCCCTGCGGACGGCCGGGTCTGTTCTGGGTGTGGCACCTGCTGCTTTTCCGCTTGGTCCTTTCTCGTTTCACGAAGGCGAGTCCTGCTTCTTCAAGTGGGTCCGCAGATCCCAGTGTTGGGAGCCCTGGTGAGTGCACCGCCGGCCCCTGCGGCTTGGAAACTCACAGGTGGGTTCAGGTGGAGGCTGAGCGCCCCGGCCCCCGGAGCCTTCTCTGCTTGGATGCGTGTGGCGATGCGCACGGATGCGGGCGGATGTGCACGGATGTGCGCCTATGTGGGTGGATGTGCGCGGCTGCGGGGTGGGGGAGCGATGCGAACGGATGTTGGTCGATGCGGCCGATGTGCGCGGATGCCGGCAGGTATCCACAGATGTGCCTGGATGTGCGCGGATGCGGGCGGATGTGCGCTAATGCGGGCGGGTGTGCCTGGATGTGCGCTGATGTGTGCAGATGCGTGCGGATGTGCCCGGATGCGGCTGGATGTGCGTGGATGTGGGCGGACGCGGGCGGATGTGCCTGGATATGCGCCAATGCGGGAGGACGTGCGCGTGCGCGGATGTACGCTGATGTGCGCAGATGCGGGCGGACGTGCCTGGGAGTGCGCTGATGTAGACGGATGTGCGCGTGCGCGGATGAGGGCGGATGTGCGCCAATGCGGGCGGATGTGAGCGGATTTGCGCGGGTGCTAGCGGACGGGCACGGGTCTGCGCAGCTGCGGGCGGATGTGCGCGGCTGCGGGTGATGTGCGCGGACGCGGGCGATGTGCGCGGACGCGAGTGGATGTGCG